TAGGTTACCTAAGAGCTGATAAAAGCTTTGGGACAGTGAGGATTGTGATGATAATACTTAGTTAAAATAGGTACAATTTCTCCTCTCTCACTATTTTTGATGGCCTTTCTTTTACATAATAGGAAGAAACACAGTTTAGATAAATTCCCATCTGTCTTTGTCATTTTTCATGTCAATACAGTATGAATAAAAGATTTTACATTGTCTTCTAGAGTTATTGTAACATGCTTTTAGAAGATATCTAAGTCAAATGCTTAGCTTGAAAGTATTTTTACATTCTAAAATGATATTTATGATTATGACTGAATGAAGTTGTTTACTGTGTTGGAAGAGAGCATAAAAATAACACATTGAGAAATCAATTTTAAAGCTTAATCTTTTTTCCTTCTTTATAGGGCTGATTCCACTAGAAGCAAGATGGCCGAACTCAATACTCATGTGAATGTCAAGGAAAAGGTAAGATCAAGTTATATGTTGGCTCACAGAAACTCCAAACTGAGTAATGCAGTCCCTAGCCGGTAAAAACTCAATTACAATGGAGAAAGGGAAAATGGTTTCAGGGGATACATAATAAGTTTGCCACAGCAGCAAACTGTTTAGTAGAAAAAATAAGTAATGTTTACAGAAAGCATGTTAAGCATATTACACTCATTTTTTTTCAGTTACTCTTGACCATAACCCCATAAAGAAGATACTGGTGTTATTTCTGTTTTACAGAGGTGGAAGTTGAGAAACAGAGAAGTTAAGTAATTTGGCTAAGTTCACATAGCTGGTAAACAACAGAGCTGAGATTTGAACCCAGGCAGTGTGCCATTCCACAGTTCATACTCTTCACCCCCACGCTGGGTTGCATCTAAGAGCAAGAGTATTATATTACCTCTTCAGAAATGGACTCAGAGAGAGACATCCAGTGTATCACCTAGTGGTCATGCTGGGCAGCCTTTGAAGTTGCTTTCAACCCTGAGAGGTCATCACTCTGAAAATCCTCCAACTCCTCATGATTTGTTGGAGACCGATTCCACTTCAAAGCTCTTTCTTAGTCTGTGCTGTGTCCTCCACTGAGGGTCAGAATCCCTCACTTGCCACTTGTGCTGCCTTGTACTGTTAGCTCTTAAGGATCATAAACCATACACCATGAAGATAAATTTGTCCAACCCATTTATCTGACCCCATAGGAACTGAGGCCCTAGCACTGATTTGCTCGTGGTTGTACAGGCAAGTGGGAGAGCCTGGACGGGAGCCTAAGCCAGCACAACGATGGTGTACCTTCCACAGCGTCATCCCACAGCCTTCTCTGGACTGTAAACCATGTGAGGGCAGAAGTTTGTCTTTCATCTCTTTATATCCTCACCATACCAAAAATACAGAGTGAAGGATGAGAGGATACATCTGTGGAGCCCTTACTACATTTTCTTTCACTTAGCAAAGGTGTAATAGACCCAAACACTGCTCTAGATACCTGGGGTATGGCACTGAACATGTAGATGAAGTTCCTGCTCCCATGGAGCTCACATTTGGGGGCAAGGACGCAGAGAATAAACAAATGAACACAATTGTTCTAGGCAGTGATGACTACTATAGAGAAAACAGCAGGGCGGCTTGATGAAGGGGGAGGCAAGGGTAGGTGGCTGCTCCACATGGGGTGGTCAGGGAAGCCCTTTGGAGGAGGTGACATTGGATTGAGATAAAGATGGGGAAAGAAACAACCATACAAAGACCTGAGGAAAGAGAATTCCAGACAGAGAGAAAAGCAAAGGAGATGCTTAAGGTGGACTAAGTTGAATGTGTTTGATGAGCAAGTGGTCAGTGTGGTCTGAGTGTCGTAGGCAAAGGTGATAGATAATGGGAGATGAAGTCAAAGAATACCACTTAGAATGCCGGCTCCCTATCCAGGTTCGTGGATTTCCAAGGGATCCGTGGTTAGAATCCATGGGTCTATGAACCAAGATGAGAACAAATACATTTTTATCTTCACTAACATCTAAATGAAATTTACCATTTCCTCTAGTCATGAATGTAGGCAAAGAAAAAAAAAAATAAAGCCCACAGTAGAACAGCAGTAGCTGTGACTTTCACAATTAAAAATCACAGATATTTTCGTATCCAATTGCATTTGTTGCAGATATCCTGAAATGTTATTTGTGCGTCACTGCTACAAAGTTACTGTAGTTATAGAATCCTGTTATTATAGGATGTTATTTGATGTGGTAATAGAGAAGTACATATATTACTGTAGCATGTTTGGTTTTTATTAATAGTCTAAGTATATTTCAATATAAGTAGTTTCCTTTGTAATCACATGTAGTTTATTTCATGAATTTTAAAACATTATTTTGAGAAGGACCCCACAGGCTTCACCAGGCTGCCAGAGGGGGTCTGTGTACTAAAAGGTTTGGAACCCATGATACTGCCATGTAGGGCATTATTCAGAGGGCAAAAGGAAGCTGTTGGAAGGTTTTAAGTAGGAGTGTGACTTGATCGTACATGGTTTAAAAATCTCACCTGGCTCCATCTATGACTGTGCTACCTATTTTATAAATCTTCATATTAAATAACCTTTCTATTTGATGAGGACACTGAGGGCTGAGGTCAGACTTGTCTTGGTCAAAGTCAAACTCTCAAAAAATGTGGAGGAATGGGGATTCAGACTCACCTGTCTGGTTCTAAAGCCTGTGCCCTTTCCACATATTATCGCTTCTCAAAGTTTTCCATCAAAATGCCCCCAAGGCACAGAAGGACTAATGTCTTACCCCAAGTCTCTGGGTACATGGTCAAAACCAATTTCTGCCAACATACAATTTCCTTGGAGTATTATGTGTTGTCTTAAAATTTGATGCAAAATTTTTACCCATTGTATTTCATAATATATTCCATACATTATTTCAGTATAAAACCATTGTAACTTTGTGATACTTATTATGAAATAGACCTACCATGCCTCAAGTCCTTGGGATCTTCAAAATGATAAGTGTATTTTTGCATCCTAATGAACTGACCTTTGGCTGAGGCCTCTTGGATATCAGCCAGTGGGGACTGGTTGCCCAGGGAACCAACCAGGTGATTACAGCATTGGAATTTTCAGTTCTACCCACCAAATAGGCAGGAAAGGAGAGCTGCTAAAGGTTACCAGTGATCACCAATGGCCAATGATGTAAGCAGTCATGACTATGTAATGAAGCCTCCCATAAAAACCCAAAAGGACTGAGCTAAACACTTGAAGGTTTGGGGTGGTGAACCCAGAGGGAGATGGAAGCTTCAAACCCCTTCCCACATACCTTGCCCTGTGCATCTCTTCTATCTTGTGTTCATCAGCAACCTTGATAATATCCTTTTCAGTAAACCAGTAAATGTGTTTACCTGAGTTCTGTGAGCTGTTCTAGCAAATTATGGATAGTCCCTGATTTATGATTGTTTAACTTAAGATTTTTGATTTTATGATGTTGCAAAAGCCATAGGTACTCAGTACCCTCCTGATTTTTTTTTATTGTTTTTCCCCCAAATATTTTGGTCTGTTGTTGGTTGAATCCACAGATATGGAACCTGTGGACATGGAGGGCCAGCTGTACTTGTGCTGGTATCTGATGTGGAGGGTGGTCTTGTGGAACTGAGCTCTCAATCTGTGGTATCTGATGCTGTCTCCAGGTAGACGGTGTCAGAGTTAACATTCGGAGAATTAAGTGGGAGAATACCCAACTGATGTCTGCTGAAGAATCCACTGCTGAAGGATTACTTGGTGGAGAGAAGACCCCACACATTTAGGTGACCAGAGGTCCCAGAAGTGTTCTGTGTTGTGAGAGTATAGTAGGAGAAACTGAGTTTGTTTTTTCCTATATCTTTACAAACTTATTGGCCATTGAGTAAAAAATAGCAGCAAGATGTCCCCTTTTATGTCATGGCTTCTTTATATAATATCTAAACTCACAGTCATATATTCAAGTGAGAATATGTGTTCCCCAATTTAAGAAGCTCGGTTGGGCGCCGTGGTGCTGACCAAGGATCAGCGGCCTCTTTCCAAATATTTGTTGAGATAGAACAGCTCTTAAAGTTGGACCATGGAAAGGAAAAGTACTTAGAAGAATCAGACTCATAGCAATTGATCCCTGCAAAGCATGGCTGGTGGACAGACCAATATGGTAGGCTCAGCAGCCAACACTAGAGTGTCTAATTCAAAACAGAGATGGCATCATGCCAATAGGGGAAAACAGACTGATCTGCCAGCACACAGATCACAGAAGTTCAGTGTGAATGCTCCATGCATAGGCTTAAGTGCCACATTCATCCAGTCCTCATGAGCAATGTCAGATGTCCACGTGTCAATGAACAGTAGATAGTGTTTTCCCACTGCATTTCCGTAACTTATGAAAATGTTGGCACTATTTTGAAAGAGGGTGATGACAATGGAAGTAGAGCTTCTCTAACTCATTTAGTGAATTCCATCTTCTCATGTCAAAAGGTTAATAGATTTCTCAATAAAATAAATTATAATAAACAACTGAAAATTCTGTTCCTTTATAATTTTTCATTGATTTATTTTAGTATACTTACTGTCTTTAGTTATTAGCTTTTATGGCCTTTTTATAATTCGTTTGTTTCTCAATCTGTCACACAGAGCAATGACATTTTAATTCTGAAAATTAAGAATAATAACAACTGTTACGTCTTAGAGTACAAGCTTGTAGAGATCAGATGAAACATCTATGTAGCATTTTTGATGCAGTATCTAGTCAAGTACTGCAGGAAATGAACTACTTCATAATAAGTGTTGGAATCAAATGAGTTCATCAGTTGTCACTAGTGGGTCCTCTATTGGATGAATTTGAGTAGGTGCTTTGGTGAGGAAATGATTCCTACCTTCATGTAGCTTTTAGTCCAAAGAAGCAGAAAGCTAATTATTTCAGGCTTAATATTCAAGACAACTGAACCTTAAAATTGGCACTCATTTTAACTGTCTTATTTTAAAATGTCTCTATCTTGTTGGATTATAATGATAAGCGTTTAATTGAAAATATAGTCGCAATCAGTGTCTGGTCTCCTCAGCATGACATACATCCCCTGCACGAGTGGACCCCTGTCTACCTTTCACACGTCTTCATGCATCTCTCAGTCACTACCCTGATCTTGAACATGTCTGCCTTCTTTGCAAAAGCTGTTTCCTCTCTCTGGGATGTCCTCCTCAGGGACCCGACTCTTTCCTTTCTCTTTCCCTGCCTGAAATGCCCTTCCTCTGTCATCTGCCTTGTACTTCTGTGGGGGTCTCTGCTTTCTCTACTGCAGCTGTTATTACAGGGAGTGTAATTGTTAGTGGTGGCTCTGTCTCCCCATGTGAGACGGTGTGCTTCTTGGAGGCAGAGAATGAGTCTTACTATTACTATTCTTGTGCCTTATATATAGTTGACCCCCCAGATAGTGTTAGATAAATGAATGAATAATGAATGAATGAACATGCCTGCTTGAATTGTTAAGTTCTTTAGAGACTTCATTTCCCATTTACAATATTTTGCAAAATCTCAAATCTTCTTGAAAACTGAAATGTAGGTTAATGGAAATGTCATCTCTTTTTGCTATTAAATAAAGCATGTTTTAAATTGCTTCTAAAAACAGAAACTTGGGTTACTTAGGTTGACTACCTGTGGTTCTTCAGAAAAGTAGTATGTTTACATAATCATCAAATACAGGTGGTCTCAGGTAGACTTCACAATTCCAAATGAGGTCCTTTGCTGAGTAACCAGTCATATTCTACTGAACGAAATAAATAAAATAAAGGGAGAAAAAAAATCCCCCAAATCTCACTTTGTTAAGGTGAGATAACAGAACAAAATCTTTGGGCTAATCTGATCTTATATTTAGGGCATATTCATTTTTAATAGCTTCTTTTTTAAATAACGTATTTTTAAAGAAATTGAACAGTAGAAATGTATAGATGAGTTCAGTGTAGGGCCTAATAGTCACCATTAGATGATTTCTGTGTGAAACATGTGGGCGCCAAGATAAATTAGATTTATAAATGTTTAAATGTAATTCTTGACTGCATAAGAAAGGATTATTAGAACTGGTATAGACAAAATAGAAATTTCAGTCAGATATTTTTAATGGATTCCCATAAATCAGTTTAAGTAGAATACAATTCAGCAGTAAAACTTGGTGATGTAAAGTAAAGGGGATCTTTGTCTGTAAATGGTGTTAATAGTTGCAAAGTGTCCAAGTATGCACTAATAACCAATTGCAATGAGTGATCCCTAAGCCATGCTAGAGGACCCAGTACACTTGGGAAATGATCTCCAACAATGTAAGGCTGTGGAAGAAGTGTGGAGTTTGGGGACAGAAATCAGATATTATTAGGTGAGCACCCTGAAATAAGTCACTTAACTTTTCTGGGCCTCAATTTCCTAATCTGTAAATTGGACATGATGACAAAATTTACCTCACAAAGTCATGAAGTACAATAATAAATGCAGAGCTGCTTTATGAGCTCTTAACAATATGAACTAGAAAGAATCTGGGGAGCTTATCTGTTTATTTCACAGTTAGAAAATGAAAAAGGAGCTCTAGAATTAACATTTTTGTTCGAAACTCAAAATATAAATTCCTATAGAACCAAGATTAGAAAAAGTAAAAAGACCAAATGAGAAAAAGAACATAAAAGTGGACTTGACTTTTTCCAACTTTATAGCTATTAGTGAGCCTACAAAAAATAAGTGAGATTAGACAATATGATAATATGGAAATGGGGAACAGCTCTGTCTATAATGTCATTGCTGAGCTGTGCCATGTCATTGTGAATAGCTTTTAGCACTGTTAAAGTTATAGAAGTAAATTGGATTATAAACAATAATTGTATAGAATCATTAAAATAAAAAAAGAATAATAGGAAAAAGGAGAAAAGTCTCTCGTCCAGAGAGGTGACATCTTCAAAGTCTCTGCAGATGATGGAAATACAAAGTGTTTATGTCTGTGTGCCCTGGTGTCTGTCCCCAACAGATGAGCAGATGTTTAATTATTTTTGAATAAATATATACTATTTTATTATTTTTTCTTGTAACTCTCTTGGTCAGCATTTTACAAAGTAGTGAAGTATAGTTCAGATCTTTATGTGGGATGGAGTATGGTCAGAAAAACCCAAGCATTTGATCGAAGAGATTTTAGCAGGTTCAGAGAGGATATAGAAGAAACTCATCATTATGCATCTTGAAAATATGAACTCCATTTAATAGATAACTATTTCATGATATTTGAGACAAGTTTTAATGCTATGTAGTTGTTTCGAAAGTGCAAACCATGCAAGTTTTGGGGCAAATTTTGCAGGAATGTTGAAGCCAATTTAGTCCAACCCTTAGATTCAAACAAGAACACAAGCCACACAGCTTTCAGATTTCACCATGGATCAGGTTCTTGTCATCATTTTCTCATAGGAAAGGGTCATTAAATTTCCCCTTCACAAAAAGGAGAAACATTGACAATCGTTGTTGCCTAATGCTTATGTACAGAACTGCTGTTACCGTTGCTTGGCAACCAGAAGAGATTTGACAAGGAGTCTAAAGGAACTGAATGAATAAATGGAAATGTCAGCATCAGTTTCAGGGGATAAGAAGAAATTTACTATTGTAGGATTAGCATCGCATTGCTTTTTGCAGGCTACATGATTGGAATTCACAGTGTTTCTCTCCTGCATCCCCTGCCTCCCCACCCCCACTCCTTCCAGTCTTTCCTGGTAGCCCCTGTGCACTGCGGCTGAGAGGTATATATAAGATAGATGGTTAATGCTAAAGAATACAAGAGCATGTCAAAAATGAAACCCTTTGGCAGCAGGAAAAAGTAACCTCTGTTCCAATCCCGTGGGATTTATAGGTACTTTACCAACATTCTAGTTATTTCTCACCATGATCCTTTGTATTAAATTATTCAATTTTTACATATAAAAAAATGACTATGTTAGAAGGCTATAACAATGGTTTCTTCTGTCCTAACCTTGCACACTGGAAATCTGTTCAGATAGATTAGACAGATAGACAGACCAAAAGATAGATGCATAGATTCAGCCCTTAAAAGTGTATTGCTTGTATTATTATTAAAACCACTTTTTTCTCTGTAAGTCATTGCTTTTTAACTTGATTATAAGCTCCTAATGGACTTTTGATTTATCTGTGTACTTAATAGCTCCTATGATAATAATACATAGACTTTGTGTCCCCCAAATATTGGCTAATTAATCAACGTTAAATAATTTAGCCACTATTGTCTAATGGTAATTCTCAACTCATGAGGAGGAAGAAGGAAGTGAGACATGCTTCCTGGGTCTAAGCCAAGTATTACAATGTCAGTGGGGGAAAAGATAGGTATAATTAGGAAAAAAACCCCACATATTCATGTTCTTTTGATGCCTCCAAGAGGCAGATGCTAAGATGAGATGGGATTAGAAGAGATGGGGAAGAGAGTAGGCAGCCAGAGCAGACAGGGAGAGGCTTTAGACTTCCAAGCAAGTCTGATAGCTTTGAAAGAAGAGGGAAAAGAAAGGAAAATTGAGCAGAGAATGTCTCAAACTTACAATGCAGTATTGAATTTCAGCAGGCTGATGAGGAGTATTTAGGCCAACGTTGCCCGCTGGAGGAATGTTCAGAGATGAGCTTTCACTAGCTCCCAGCCTCCTCAGCTGTTAACTAGCAGTCTCCTGGGGGGAGTGTGGCTGGGGTGCAAATGCACTGGGGGACCCAGAGGAGTGGCAGCTAGGCTGTCAGTCAACTGTGATGATTTCCGTAGCTGCCACAATACTTCAGAGTGTAGCAAAATACACACACACACACACACACACACACACACACACATTTAAAAAGGAAATTGGAATATCTATTTTGGAATTCAATTATATGAGAAAAGCCTGAGATTTTTATGTTTATTGAAAAGATTAAAAGTTTGAGAACCATCATTCTAAAGTAATTAGTAAATTAAAATGCAAACTCTAGATTTCTCATCCTTTAGCAAACCTAGTCATACTGTCACTAGTATGGGGAGTCTTCTTGACTTTTGGGGTAAACAATGATTCAGTAATCTTATTTTCCCTTAAAAGTATACTTTGTTTCAAACTACCTGTAAGGTGACAAAGGGACATCATTATACTGAAGAACTGTGCCCTTTGTGTACAGTGTGTACACATTGTATTGATTCCCTTGGCTTCAATGTTTTAATCTGCCAAAGTATGGGAGTTAATGTAGATGAACTCCAAAATCCTTGGCTGCTCTGTCATTGGATGAACCCGTGGTCTTTCCCACCTCCTACGCACCAGCACCGTAAAAGACCAAAAGGGAGACTGGGCTGCGGATCAAAAAACATGGGCACCAGCCTGAGTCCTGATACAAATTGCCTGCCTCAGGTTGAACTTAGCACATAACCTCTCACTACATCAGTTTCTTGCAAAATAAAGGAACCTGATTAAACCATCTTTAAGGTCCATGTCTGGTTCACTGGCATAAAATTCCTGATGCCCTTTTGTCTTAGGAGTGTTTCAGAACTCTGCTTTTCAGTCCTCGAAGGTAATTTTCAAAAATATATTGAAATGATGATTTAGGATCAATTATATAACTTAATGTTTTTCTTTGTTTTTTAAAAATATTATGCTAAGCATATTTAACATGAAGTTTACCCTCTGATTGTGTTTTTAAATGTACAATACAGTGTTGTTAGCCATAGGCACAGTGCCTCTAGAGCTTACTCATCTTGCATAACTGAAATTTTATACCCATTGAACAGCAATTCTTCATTTCCTCCTCCTTCCAGGCCCTGGAAACCACCATCCTACTCCCTACTTCTATGGGTTTGACTGTTTTACATGCCTCATATGAGGGGAGTCATGCAGTATTTGTCCTGTGCCTGGCTGATTCCACTTCACATAGCATCCTCAAGATTAATCAGTGTTGTCATGTTGTTGCACATTGCAGGGTTTCCTTTTTTAAGGCTAAATCATATTCCGCCGTGTATATCTACCACATTGTCTTTACTCATCTGCCGACGGACAATTGTGGTTTTTAAAAATTTTATTGACTCAAATTTTAATTTTAGGAATTTGGCAAAGGCTGAATGCACAAACTAGTTTTAATTCTTTTTTACTGCCTTTAGAGGAAAAGCAAACAAACTCATAAAATCATTAAGAAAACAAGATCTGGCCAATTAGATGATAATTTTGACTTGTGTTCAAAACATCATGTTCTTTTTTAATTGATCAAACCTGTTCAAATAAAAAATGGTATGTGGGTAAACAAAGTCCCCTTAAAGAGAGAAAGTATGCTTCTAGTTTCCATGGTGTTTAAATCATCAGCTTCCTCCAGACCACATTGAAGAAATATCCAAGGTTAATATAATTTAGAGATTAACCCAACTCCCTTATTCTGGTATTGACTAAAAGGTAATTAACTCCTTTATTCTTGTATTGATTAAAGGGTAATAGTGACTTATACCTTTATGGTACTCTTTATCTGAAAAGTGAATGAGCAGGAAAAAAAAAAAATCCCTCGGGGAGAGTGAATGTCAATAATCACCATCCCCCCCACCCATTCTCCTCCCCTGGAGACTTTAAATTGCAAAGAAAATGAGAAGAAAGATTTTACTGAATATTCTAAGTTAGAAGCAGAAAATTAAAGTGTCTTAGTTTTCTACTCTGATTAAAATACCAAAACCAAAATACCTTGTGAAAATGACATTTTTTTTGTCCTCAATAATAAATTCAAATATAGAATTCATCAGTGATAGTGGCCAGACAGAATATTTACCTAAGTCCTAATACCATGTAGGTATAACCAGCTGGCTAAAAACAGACTTCCAATGGACTCAAGGACTCGGTGTACCCTAAAATTATGTGCAAGTCTAACTGGTAGTTCTGGGAAAATATGAGAAGAATCAAGAACAATTATAGAAAACATGTAGATACATACTGAATATATGCTAGCTAAATGGGTGAAATGAGATACATGTTAAGCTCATTGCTTGTTTAAATGTAGATCAGAGAGACTGTTGCTAACAACGATTTGATAGTTATACCTCCCAGTGTCAGATTAAAAATCAAAATTCTGATGTAAAAAGTTGATCATGAACTAAATTTAAAGATTTAAGACACTTTATTTCATTTTAATTTTACTTTTGTGTGTGTGTATGGGAGACCAAAGTTTTATTATTACTCAAATCAGTCTCCAATTTTACTATTTCTTTAGATAGGAGAGAAGTCCATTTGAGTATCTGTTACTCTGTAAGTCATCAGCTCATTTCTAGGAATTAAAGAAGTTGTATCTAACACAAAGTATCACTTTTCATTTAGTATCATTATAACTGTTAAATAAATTTGCTTTTTTTCCCCCCCAAATGTTCAGTAACTTGACAAAGTATAGATGAATAATCAGTAAAAAGAAATCTGGGTTGTTGATTTTACTATCTTTAACTATTTGAAGCCAACTGTATTTTTCAGACTACAATACTATCTTCCCACATTAAAAGGTGGAGCCTTCCTCTCCCCTTAAAACTGGGCAGACTTTTGTAGCTCGTTGACCAGCATAGTAAGAAGGAAAAAGACTTCCAAAACCAGGTGAATCTGCTTCTTCTTCACCAGGCAGGATATTGCAGTGGCTCTCTGGGCTGCCACGTGTAAACAGTCTGACTGTTCTGCCGTGCTGCAAGGAAGCCCAGACTAGCCCATCAACATAGACCACTTGGAGAAACCTTGAGACTGCACAGAGAGAGGCTCAGACACACTCCATCTGCACTAGTGTCCCTCTCCCCCACCATCCGTCTCCATGAGAGCCCTGGAGGCACACCACTCAGCCAAATTCCTCCTAAATTCCTAGGCCACAGAAATAGTGAAAAATAGATTGTTGTTCTGAGCCACGAAGTTTTAGACATTTGTTATGCAACAGTGGATACCTGGGATACCCTCTTACAGAGAGAGTGCCCTCCTGAAGAGTTTTGCTTTACAGAAAGTAAAACTGTTCCAAACTAGAACTGCTATTTTTGACATTATAATATTATATAAACAATGGAGAGGTGTGAATGAGTAGTTAGCACACTCAGGTAAATGAGTTGACAGGTGAACAGTTATACCTAAAAAGAGATCTGTTCTGTGCCACTTTCTCTCCTTTGCCTCATCCACTATCCCTCACCTATTTATAACTTTTATTATTTCTCACTCCCGGTTCTCAATTCTGGATAGTATTAGAGTCCTTGGGAAAACTTTTTTTTTTTCTTTAAGGAATGCCAAGTCCAAGATTTGATTATCTGGAGTGGGGCTCACGTATAGCTATATTTTGAAAATTTACCATGTAATTCCAGTTTGCAGCCAGGGTTGAGACTCAGTTTGATGCTGTTGGTGCCAAACTCTCTATCCCTAGCTCAGTTCTTTCCTGGAGCTCCAGATTTACAGATTCAGCTGCCTTACATATCTGGACATGGATGCCTCACAGGCTCCTGAAAGAGTAAAGCTACTGGTCCCTTCTTAGGAAATGACCCCACCACATACACAGTTGAGCCAGAAACCAAGGAGTCACCCATATTCCTTCATCTTCCTCATTCCCTGCATCTAGTTAGACACAAATCAATTGCTTCCTCTTAAGAAATGTGTGAGTCTTTTTCTACACTGCCCCATCTTGGTCCATTTTCTCTCCCCTGGATATGGTTGGAATCCTAACAGGCATTCATTTCATCTCCTCCAACACATTTACAAAGAAACTGGAATGACATTTAATATACAAGCTCCTCTCCTGAGTAAAACCCTTCAATGGCTTGCCCTTAGAATAAACCTCAAAATTATAGTAAGGTTTGCAGGGCCTTGCCCACTTTTGCCTCATGCCTTTTTTCTCCAGGGTCATCCACAGTCCCTCCCCCCGCCCCGACCTTTTCATACTTAATGTTCCAGCAGTGCTTGACCTTCATTCCTTTGAGCATCTTCTAGTCATTCAGTCCTATCTGTTCCGAGATGTTTTGCCTCTTCCTGGAGTGCTCCACCTTCCCTCCCATTTCCTTTGCCTAACTATAGTGCTACCAACCCATCATTCTCATTTTAAACTAACTTCAGTCCCTCGAGGGGGCTTCCCTTACTTTCTAGACTAGGACAGGTTTCCTGTTATAGATGCTAGAGTATTACTGCTTTTTCTGTAACATTCATCAAACATTTGCCTTCCTATACTATAAACCCCAATGGACCTGTCACTGCTGCAGTTCAGCTTCTGAGTCTGATGACTGACTAAAAGAATGAATGAACAAGTAAACATGGATTAAAAGATTAATTTCAACTTTGAAGGAAGTTTTTGTGGTAATACTGTGGCCTTTATACTTGGCCATGGCCTATACAAAATTCAAATCAACAAATCTAAATTATAGAAGATGCCAACTAATTTTTAAAATGATACAAAATTGGAAGGAATGGCTAAAACATTCCTGTTTATGATGGGGCAAAATTCAAGGTTCCAAAAGATAACAGCTGGCTGGAATGATGAGTCAGATACTCTTAAACGTTACATATTAACGTTTAAGAAAGATGAACATAGAATCCTACCTTTGCATTCTAGTCATTGCACAAGTAAAGGCCAGGGGACCCTTGTCTCAAACTCAATGTAAGGAGAGTTTGAGTAACCTGCATTTGACCTAGTGATTAATGTGGCTCCTAAAATCACTGATGCCACCTTAGACTCCTTTAATGGATAAACGGGACCCAGCCAAGGTAGGTGCAAGTCTCAGTCCTCTGCTCTAACTCAGCCACTTCTGGAGCAGTGTGCTTCTCTTATAGTGCCATATTTTAACAGGATATGCTCAGAAAAGCTTGATCAGATAGTAAAAACTTGGAAAGCACAGCTTACGGAAAGTTGCAGAAGAGCATGTTTACTCCATGAAGATGGAATTGTGGAGAATACTTTAGTTCTTTTTAAAAAGCAAAGGGCTGGACTGTAGAAAAGGGGTTATATTTACACGCCAGGAAGCACACTGGGATCACGGACTGGCAATGTCTCACATCCCTTCTCTGAGCATGTCCTTATCCTCGACCTCTCTCATCTTCTATCTCTCTTTAACATCTGTTCTTCTCATCCCTTTGCCTGTCTCTAGTCCTCCAATTCAGCCTCCCCTCTTCAGAGACTACAGATGCCTTCTTTAGCCACCTTAGTGATACTCAGCCCCTGTGTTTCTGAGCCCAAAAATCTGCCACTACATTTCTTACAGTTTGTAACTATGGGTCATTCCTTTTCTCTGTTCCTGCTTCTGGCTTGTTGAGAATTGCTGGGGAAAGCCAAGCCAATCGGCACCATAACAGATCTGTGCAGTCCAACACCGTGGACCTGCAGGCCTGCTCGGCATTCCGTCATTCATCAAGGTCATTTCCTATCTCAGTCCCATTAGGGCAGCTCTGCATCTTTCTCCACTTTTTAAGCCCCAAAGCGAATTCTAAAACTCTCATGCAGAGGAATAGTTTCCATAAATTTGCCCTTCACAATCTGAAACTTTTATTGTGTCTTCACTCCTCCTTTCTCTGGATTCTTAGAAAAACAGAGAAGAACCTCCCTTCCATTCCACATGGGTTTTAATGATGTTTCTCTTATTTTCTGTGGGAGCTTCTTTGATAATTTATCTCCTCTCTTCACACTTCTAATTCTTTCTCACTGCCATCTCCTTCCCTCCATCAGTAAACACGCTCAAGCACTTTGGGGAGCTTAATTGTGCAATGACTGTTGAAAGATAATTAGAGAGAGGAAAAACCAAGCTGGAGAATCCCATTAGGATGCCTTTTCCAGAGTCCAGGTGAAAGATAGGGGAACCTGTCTGGGTTAATGAAAGAAAGAATAGACAGCAGGTAAGATTCAGAGAGGATGTTGTTACCAGAATGATGTGCCAGTTATTTATGACTTTGCCTTATTTTCCCTGCTGTTTTGTCAGCTTGTTGGATGCAAAGATGTGTCAGATTCATTTCACTTTCCCTCACAGAATGTGGCTGAATGAGTGAATGGCTAGAATTTCCCCAAACGTTTGGGGAGAGGGTTGCCATCTGGAAGGAATATTTTTTTAAAAGGTGATAGTTGGTGGGATAGAAAAAGATATCTCCTTATAAGGAGGGAGGAAGCAAAGAGCAGTCCTTTGTTTCTCAGAGTGTGGTTCATTGCTTTCATTTCTAGTTGCTGCTGTAACAAACTGCCACAATTCAGCATTATTCTGTCCACATCCCTGGACACGCAGATATCAACTGGGAGCTTATTAGAAATGTAGAATTCAGGCCCCACCCTAAGCCTCTGAATCAGAAACTTCATCCCAGTTAGATCCCCAGGTGATTGGAATGTATTTTAAAGTTCAAGAAGCCGCAACTAGACTGTCTCTAAGATCCTTTCCACTTTTACTTGCCATGATTCTATAAAAACTGTATTTTTTCCCATCTTTAAATCTGTATTATTTTTTTTTCCTCTTGGTTTCCTGCCAAAAAAAAAAAGTTAATTCTGATTTGTACTCCTGGTGTTAATTCCCCAAAAGTCAGCCAAGTAGAACATGGCAACACCTCATGCATGTTTTTTGCTGGCAGGAAGTAGATGCTAGAAAAGGCAATTAAATTATGGAATTATCCATGATGCAAAGGTACTGGTCTGCAAAGAGTATTTTCTTCCCCAAGAAGATTCATAGGAAAACTGCCTACATTACTGTGTAGATAATATTAGTGGCCCAGCAAGTGAAGCAAAGCGTACACAGATGAGCTGTTTTTAAGGCATCTCTGAATGGCTCAGCATTTGAGAAATGTGACCAAAGCTGATTATAAAATTCCTTTCAAAGTTGCAGGAATGGCAAACCCATAAATAACTCCAGTTCCCATTGGTGTGAGGAAGAGGTTGCTGGCTGTTTGATTGCTGTCCTTATCGTAGGGGATAAGGTTAAGCTCACCTCCAAGATTGCAAGCTTCTCAAGGAAGGACCCAGCCATATGCTGTGCCTGGCACCTAGGAGGCACTCCATACGTTTTGGGCTTGAATCCATTAAGCTTTTTAATAGTGTGTAGTACTTAATTCTTAATTAGAGATGCACTTAAAAATGAGTAAGTAAAACTGGAATATGTCAATAACCATCTTACTAGACTCCCTGCTTCATTTTATTCATTCGGTCATTCATTCAACAAACATTTATGAATCAGATACTGAATGGCAACTATTGTTCTAGACCCTGTGGATATAAAGATATGCTTCTTGTCACTCAGCAGAATAAGAGTCACATGAGTAAATAATAGTGGCAACATTAGTGCTGGGGAGAAGTGTGTGAGCAAAGCTCTGAGGCCTCTCTTCTCCCAGCTGCCGTGTACATTCTAATGGGACTTATCTTTAAAATCTTCCTTTTCTCACCTTTGCCAATCAGATTAATTATTTAGCTTTATTATTTTTATTTCCAGCCCTGGCTATTAATGTGGCCTCCAGACACACCATACTTGCTCTAGAAAATGAAACCTTCTCAAACTAGCACAAGTACAAAAAAAGAGGTTATTATTATAAAGGTCTGTCAACGTTTCATGAGACTTCAGGAAAAGTTAAAGGAGCAGGAAAGAGAGAAAGTGAGGCAGCTGCAAGTCCAGCCTCCTTCATCTGCACTCCAGCTTCTCTCCCTTTGTGTTGAATAGCTCAGACCTTTAAGGCAGAGGGTCTGATTGACTCACTTGGTCTTTTCTAGCCAGGCCACTTCCTGACCACTGTAATTCATTGTACTGTGTTCTGATTACTTCCTTCACAGCACTCACTTAGCACAAGTTGCAGTGACATATTTTTTATTTCTATGTTTATATCCGTTTCCCTCTCTAGTTTTGGCAGTGGCCATATCTGTTTTGTTACTGCTGTATCCGGCCACTAGTGCAGTGCCTGATCATAGTAGACATTTAGTAAATAATTAAGTGAAAGAAGAAGAGGGGGACAAAACCACGTTAACCACCCTAAAGATAGACTTTCTTATCACACCAGTCACACCATAGAGAGGGGAAAAGCAGGGACAGAGTCTTGGGTCCACTGACCCCTTAGCAAGTCGGTAGAGGAAGGAGGTTCTCTAAGAAGAATAGTAGATAGGGTAGTCTCCCCCAAATATATCTTGACCAACATTCAAGCCACATGGTCCTTCTACTTCAAAGCCACACCTGGGGAGACCTCTCTCCTTTGTGGCTCAATGCAAATGCTCCCATTTTTTCTTTTTAAAATTTATTGAGTAGCTAATATATGCCAAATTCTATATGAAACACTTTACAGGCATCATCTCCTTTCATTGTTATATAGGCTCCAGAAGATAATACCCTCATTTTACAGCTACAGAACCAAGTTTCAAAAATGTAAGTCAGTTCACCCAAGGTCATAGAGCTAGCATGTAGCAGAGCCAAGATTAGAGCATAGGTCTATCTAATTCCAGTGCTTCTTCCATGACATGTGGCTCTCTATGAAGTACTCTCCCTTACTTGGGCAAACTTAATTCCTTCTCTGTAGCACCACAGTACCCTGTTCATAAAGACAGTACAGCACTTATTACCTGCTTTTATTGTAGATATTTCTGGCTTCACTGCTAGATTGTGCCTCCTTACAGTGGAACTATGTCTGGTTTTTCTTTGTATCCTCAGTGCCTGTCATGTATTGGGGGCTCAGCCAGTGTCTGTCTG